ATGGGATGCCCCTTTCCTTCGGAGGGGCAGGCAGAGGCTTACAACCTCCCCTCCAACCAAGACAAAGGCCAATCCAATGCCAAACTGCCAAAGTTGTGACAATTGCTATGAGGTTGGCAAAAACCCCAGACCAGGCCAATTTAGTCTGGAGGAAAATTCCTCCCTGGCCCTGAATATGGTGACCATCAATCTCCATAGCAAGGTCAGGCAAAATAACACAGAAAATGCAATGGAGATTGGGCGGGGGATCTGATGAGGAACTGCACAGAAGGGGAGAGGTGAGCCTCCTTAAATGTTTTGGACACAGACCCAAGTGAAGCTCAGTTGGGACTGCCCCCAGCAAGTGTCTACCTCTTAGGCTGCTGGCCATTGGCCAACTCAGCTGGCAGATTTACAATCCACTTCCTGACCAACAGGGAGGGCTGTTTTGGTTCCCCATCGGTCAGGAAGCTTTCCCGTGCAGTTGCTGCGTTGGAAAGCATGGAGACAAAGTGGACAGCCCGCAATGCCGTCGCACCCAAAATACGGCAAGAAGACACACTTGGGGTGCATTCAGACATGGGGATGGTTGCATTGGTTTTCCTGATTATAAAGCTAGCACTTTTAGCTCAGAAACCATTATTTGTTTTCACATATTGTTACAGAAAGTGCAAATTAGGTAGGTTCATCTTTAAGTGTGGAATCAAATCCCACCCCCCAACCTGCTAGTCAATGTAGACAACTGGATGGACCAACTAGACAACTGGATGGACCAACTAGACAACTAGACGGACAACTAGATGGAGTTGTTGCAAGGCAACTTTGTCTGTTCCAGTGGAGACATTACCACTTCCAACACATAGAGGGTAAATGTAGACTGTTGGGTTGTATTATTGAAATGCAAGGCAGCTTTCGGTAGATTAGCTTTGCATTCATAAAAATTCCCAGTGAACCGTACTGACGGTAAATCATGCGCATGTTGTGCTACCTGCTACTCTAAAAATTAAATCCGTGCCACACAGAATGTGTTTGACTGTTTTATAGCCATTACATCGGGCCCCTTTGCAATGTTCTCATAAAAGGTGCTCCATAAATTTTATATAGTCTTCTATTGTATTATGTTTTATTGTAATAATTCAGGCTTTAATGAAAGTTCTCCCCCTTCTAAGCAGGGTTAGCATGCACAGGTGCAATTCTAGTAAAAATATATATGTATTCCTGAAAATTGCCACATTCCATGTATTCAATAGCATTGATTTTCCCTTTTTTACTGTAAGACCTGCAAAGGGAAAGTGTTTTCAAAGGTTATATTGGGGGAGCACCGTGGCCCATGGTCGATTCTTTTTCTAAAAATATTTTTCTTTCTTAGAAAAAGTTCTTAGAGAAAAAAATATGGGTTAGGAGCGTTTCCTTCCTACATGCGACACTAGATGTGCAGAAAGAATCCTAGTCACCAGCTTCTTCCTCCACTTCTCTCCTCCCTGCTATCGGTCCTGAGCTAGATGTGCAATTAAAGTGAGAGTTTTATCGGGAACATTATTAACGTGAATGAGCTTCCATGCATTTTGCCTGCAAGGCAGCTGGCCTTGGGGTGCCTGGTCTGCTGACTCTGCATGCACAGAATCTCATTTTTCATTCCAATCTTGATAAGAACTTTTATGGGGAAAACAATGCATGGTTTGTAATTGTTGTTGGCATCTGTCTGTCTTGAGAGACAATGGAGTATACCTCTGGGGGTGGTGTCAAACCTCTGCATTAGCAGCACTGAAGTGACCTCTCTGGGGTGGAAGCTGTGGCAGTGTGTGTGGAGGTTGTGGGCTGCCAAGACAACAAGAACCGCCCCCCTCGGTCTCGCTGAAACCACAACACAAAAGAAAACTTATTTTTGCTTATTTTGTTGTGGATGTGACAAAGTGGTCCAAAGGAAAGGAGAGTGATACGTTTGGTATCAGCTTGGCTGCAGGGTTTATAAATAATAATAATAATAATAATAATAATAATAATAATAATAATACTTTATTATTTATACTCCGCCCGTCTGGCTGGGTCTCCCCAGCCACTCTGGGCGGCTTCCAACAGAATATCAAAATAAAATAACCTATTAAACATTAAAAGCTTCCCTAAACAGGGCTGCCTTCAGATGTCTTCTAAAAGTCTGGTAGTTGTTTTTCCCTTTGACATCTGGTGGGAGGGTGTTCCACAGGGTGGGTGCCACTACCGAGAAGGCCCTCTGCCTGGTTCCCTGTAACTTGGCTTCTCGCAGCGAGGGAACCGCCAGAAGGCCCTCGGCGCTGGACCTCAGTGTCCGGGCAGAATGATGGGGGTAGAGATGCTCCTTCAGGTATACTGGACTGGTTTGCCAGAAGAAGGCATACAAGACGCCATCCAACCATTTTAGGGACTCCTCTCTGGATTTGTGGAGGGTTAACCCTTAGCCTTTTCTTCTCCCAAATATATCCCACAAGGCAGTATAAGTTTAGGATCAGTTTTCCTTCTCCTACATGGGTTACCTTCCCTGGTTGACAAGCCCCATCTACCCCTCACTACCCTCTAGAGCACATGCAGAAATCACCTTCTTGACACCTATAATTTTGGAATATTTTGGGGTGGATAGGATTAAGAGGGAAGAGTCACAGTAGGGCTGGGAATTATTCCTTGCCTGAAACCGAGGAGATCCTGCTGCAGGCCAATGTAGATAATACTGGATTAGATGAACCAATAGTCTGACTCAGTACATATCCTCTTCCTATGGGATTCTTCTTCCAGCCTGTTTTTCTAAAACAATCCACGGTGCTTAGTATTTATATTCTCACTGCTCCTGCATTCTTTGCTGCTTATCGGAAGTTTCCATCCTTGTCAGCCGTTTTAATCACAGTGATGAAACTGGATTAAGTCTCCTTAAATATGCTAATATTCTGACAGGCCACAAAAATGGGCTTGTAATAAATGATTCAGAAGCTAAGGTAGCTGACTCAACCTCACGCAGCTGCACCTGATTAGCTTTGATATTTCTGCTTGTCAAGTACATTAGAGCTCCGCTTACTTTGCCTGCTAACCAAGGCATCCTTTTGGTTACAGCAGATTTATTTCGCATCCTTTGCAAATCGTGCCACTGTCCTTCTGCCCTCGTGAAGGTGCCTCTTGAAATACGGCATTGCAAACCGGGCCTAATTGCATTTCACATATGTTGTGTTGCCTAGGTATGCTGTCCATCAGACAACCAGGTGAAAGGCTGGGGAAGATTAGGCAACTGAGCAGGAGGTTCATAAAAGAAGGAATTAGCAAATTATATAGACTGCACTTCTGCCCATACTTGGCAGGGAAAAGTCCTATTGAATTCCGTGAGACTTACTCTGAGCGGAGAGACGTGGGACTGCATTGATAGCCTCTGTTGGATATTAAAATAAGTTGATCAGTGAGTTGTCAGACAAAAGGAGCTGTGGTTAAAATGACTTCTTGATTAAAAGTACAGGATTTTACCTTGACATGATGTCACTTACCTCACCCCCATCCCACCAGTCAGCGTTCCTGGATGTCCCACAATGAGGACAAAGGTGGGGAAAGAAAGTCAAAAGGCCATAATGACCCCTGCCATGTTATCAGCTTGAGGTCTCCCCATAAAACTGCCCTTCAGGAAAACTAGCACTTGGGTATGACCCATGTACATAACAGGATTGTGTATGAACTGTCCATATCTCGGTCACGATATGAGAATGAGCTCCCTGCTTTGGTGCCTAGGAATTCAATGCAATCAGTTACAGTGCAATATAAAAGCTCAGCAGATTTTGCCTTCATTTGCTCTGGATTTTCACTCTTCAATACTCCTGAGGACGGACGGCTGATTTAGTGCTGAGGCGTTTACAAAGGTTCAGTAGCAGAATTGCCATGAGTGTGAATTATGGTCTGCCTCTTGCATCGGGCTGTTAATAGGTCACCATGCCCAAAGAACCAAGGCCCAGATTTTCTTCATTGCCAAAACATGTGCTGCACAGATTTTCATTGCCGTTGGCCACTTATATGCTTGAATTTTTCTTTTTGAGACAAGGGCAGCCTGAGGGGTGCGGACAACTCCCAAGTGCTGTAGCTACAGAAAGTGGAACTGATAGCAAAAGGAGCTTGAAAACACACAGTGCAATATGGGATGCCAGCTTTAAAGTGGCAAAAAGGATCCAGCTCCAACAGCTGGATCTGTTTTGCCACTTCAAAGCTGGCATCCTGTATTGCATTGTGTGGCTTCAAGCTGTCACACAGAATCTAAGCTGACTTGGAGACAGGCAGTCCAAAACACAGGAAGTCGCCTTACACACAGTTACCATAGCTGTCAACGTTTTCCTTTTTAAAAGGGAGATTCCCTTATTCCGAATAGGATTCCTCGCAAGAAAAGGGAAAAGTTGACAGCTATGACAGTTACGGGGACACAGGTGGTGCTGTGGGTTAAACCACAGAGCCTAGGACTTGCCGATCAAAAGGTCGGCGGTTCGAATCCCCGCGACGGGGTGAGCTCCCGTTGCTCGGTCCCTGCTCCTGCCAACCTAGCAGTTCGAAAGCACGCCAAAGGGCAAGTAGATAAATAGGTACCACTCCGGCGGGAAGGTAAACGGCGTTTCCGTGCACTGCTCTGGTTCGCCAGAAGCGGCTTAGTCATGCTGGCCACATGACCCGGAAGCTGTACGCCGGCTCCCTCGGCCAATAAAGCGAGATGAGCACCGCAACCCCAGAGTCGGCCACGACTGGACCCAATGGTCAGGGGTCCCTTTCCCTTTCCCTTTATGACAGTTGCAACATTGGCCCATCTAGTTCAGTATTTCCTGCTCCATGTGTGTGTGTGTGTGGGGACCCTTTGGCCCTCCAGACACTGCTGAACTACAACTCCCATCATCCTTGGCCATTGGCCACACTTGCTGGGGCGGATGGGTGTTGAAGTTCAGCAAGAGTTGGCAGGCCAAATGTTCCCCACGCCAGGACTACCCTGACTGCCTGCAGCTCACCTATTTCAGACAGAGTTCTCTCTCTGCCCTTCCTGGAGATGCTGAGGATTAAACCTTGGAGCTTCTGAATGCAAGGCAGATGCTCTACCACTGAGCTATGGTCCTTCCATAGAAGTGCTTGGCTACTGCGGAATCAGACCAAATATTTATCCATCCATACGTTCCTGTGTTGAGCACTGGCCAATCAGATGCTTCTGAGCAACCCCACAGCTATCTGTGAAGGAAACAACAGTCCACCCTTGCTGTGGTATTTAGAGAGGTGGGGGGGGGGTCAATTTAATCAGTAAAGCCCAGAGTTAAGGTAAGACTAGAAGGACGCGGGTGGCTCTGTGGTCTAAACCACAGACCCTAGGACTTGCCGATCAGAAGGTCGGCGGTTCATATCCCCGTGATGAGGTGAGCGCCCATTGCTCGGTCCCTGCTCCTGCCAACCTAGCAGTTCAAAAGCACATCAAGTGCAAGTAGATAAATAGGTACCGCTCCGGTGGGAAGGTAAATGGCGTTTCCGTGTGCTGCTCTGGTTCGCCAGAAGAGGCTAAGTCATGCCGGCCACATGACCCGGAAGCTGTACGCTGGCTCCCTCAGCCAATAAAGCGAGATGAGCGCTGCAACCCCAGAGTCAGTCATGACTGGACCTAATGGTTAGGGGTCCCTTTACCTTTACCTTAGCCCCCATCTGGGTGTCCAGACAGAAGCACCTCCTCCCAGATGCCTTTAATGGGATGCCTTTAATGGGATGCTCTGGTTCGCCAGAAGCGGCTTAGTTATGTCGGCCACATGAACCAGAAAGCTGTTTGTGGACAAACGCTGGCTCCCTCAGCCAGTAAAGCGAGATGAGAGCCGCAACCCCAGAGTCGTTCGCGACTGGACCTAACGGTCAGGGGTCCCTTTATCTTTACCTTTAAGGTAAGACTTGCTAAAAAGAAATGCAGCTAATTTTGCTTCAGATTTGTTATAACAGAAAATGAAAAATGAAGCATTAAAGGTGACTTTGAAAACAAATAAATAGGGTGGTAGCTTTTCTTGCTCAAATCAAAGTGATTGCACACTTTCTTCAGCATGTTTAAATGGTGCCAAAATGCCCACATACATCCTTGACCACTGAGCTGTCCAAAGTGCTGAAGTTCTTCATAGACTATGAGTAAGTTCTGTTGAGTACAGTGGTACCTTGGTTTACGAACTTAATCCGTTCCGGAAGTCCATTCTTAAATCAAAGCATTCTTAAACCAAGGCATGCTTTCCCATAACAGCAAGGGACTCAATTTACAAATGGAACACACTCAACAGGAAGCGAAACATGTTCTGCTTCCAAGGCAAAGTTCACAAACCAAAACACCTACTTCCGGGTTTGCAGCGTTCTTAAGCCAAGTTGTTCATAAACTAAGCTGTTCTTAACCCAAGGTACCACTGTAGTGTGTATGGGGATCAGGGCAGGGCACCTCTTTAAGGCCAAGGGCTGCATTCCCTTCTGGGCTACCTCTGAGAGGGCCTTTATCAGTGGTGTTGGTGACACAGGGGCAGAAGTGGACAATGGATGTGAACTTTACCTTTGTACAGTAGGCTCGTTTGTACAAACACCCTCCCTCTATCCTCTGTTCAGAAAATCAGGAGGCATTATTAGAGCTCAAGGACACAATCCAGCCAGCCAAAGACATTCAAGTAGGGTGTGACTGGAGAGTGGGTGTTGGACATGCAGCAGAGGAGGCTTTCCTCTGTATGTTGGGTTGCATGTCTCCCTGCTATGTAGAAGGTCTGACCTAAGAAAGACAAAATCTCTGTTTATTTTCCCACAAATTATATACTGTTTTTCTTCTGTTTTGCTCAGTAATGTGTTGTTAGGGCTTTTGTCTCTGGACTCCACCTGCATTATTTAAATGACTTTGCTAATGCTGGAAAGAGTCCTGAGAGTCAGACAGGTGCTTGGAGGGCTGCATTTGAGCTTCCCCACCCCACCCTAGATGTTTATTATAACATGGTGGCATGGATATGAGGCAGAAAAATGTTATGGTGGGAATTATTTGGATCCACAGACAGGGTGCACAACACAGGGCTGCCTTGAATTTATTTTATTTTTTTGCTTACATACCTCTGAACACACTAAGGTGTATTCCCTTTGCTGATGGTGTTTTAATTAAAGTACAGCTCAGTGGCTTTTTTTTTAAAGCACAGCAAACAGGGTGAGAAGGCAGCAATTTAAAATGAAAGACAATTAACAGCAATCAGCAGCAGCTGCACCAAATCAATCAAGCAGCCGCCCCTCTTCTTTCCTACACAATTAGTGCCAGCTGTAGCAAAATGCAATAATAAAAGGTAATTGGGGAGAAGGAAAACAAACGTTTTAAAAAGCTGCACACCTTTATGCTCTTAAGGGTTTGTTGTTTTAAAAAGAATTAATCAATATCACCTTCTACACCAGTCTTTGGGAAGGAAGAGCAACAGCCACTTCTCTGCTTGGTCGTACGTGTATTCACGTGACGTGCTCCCTCCTTGACGCTTGGTCTTTGCGGAATTATTTGTTTATATTCTAGGGCACTTTTGGGTTCGCTCTTCAACCAAGCCCCCTGCCCCCACCACTCAGAACTCCTTACATAAAAATGGGCTTGCAATCTAAAACGTGACACAAAACTATAGGGAGAGGGAAGAAGGAAAATACTGAAAGCATTGTTTTCCCCTTACATTTGCAGTGTTTGATTTGCACTGGCTTGATTCTGCAGTCAGGCCATTAGCAGTGAACCCATCCTTTGTCACTGCTTCCAGTTTTTCAGTGTCGTTCCCCCAAGATCAGTGGTTCTCAAAGGGAGAGGCAGGAGAGGATGGCAAGTGTGGTGGGAAGATTCAAGGACAGCCAATATTATACTTTTGGAAATGATTCTTGTCCCTCTTTAGCTGCATTTTAGTTCTGCATTTAATACTATTCTTCCACATAGATTGGTGCGATTTTGGTTTTAAACGCAGTGTAAGACCGAACAACGGGAGCTCACCCTGTCACAGGGATTCAAACCGCCGACCTTCTGATCAGAGCCTAGGACTTGCTAATCAGAAGGTCGCGGTTCGAATCCCCACGATGGGGTGAGCTTCCATTGCTTAGTTCCTGCTCCTGCCAACCTAGCAGTTCGAAAGCACATCAAAGTGCAAGTAGATAAATAGGTACCGCTCCAGCAGGAAGGTAAACGGTGTTTCTGTGCGCTGCTCTGGTTTGCCAGAAGCAGCTTAGTCATGCTGGCCACATGACCCGGAAGCTGTACGCCAACTCCCTCGGCCAATAAAGCGAGATGAGCGCCGCAACCCCAGAGTTGGTCACGACTGGACCTAATGGTCAGGGGTCCCTTTACCTTTACCTAAGGAGTCTCTATGGGAGTATATTGTATTTAAAAATGGGGTATCAGTGTTTTTAGGGGGCTAACCAGGTTGGGATAGCTGGGATAGCAGGCTTGTTGGTTTTTGAATGTCTTAAGTAGATTTTTTCAGTTTTGTTGTTCTGTGTGGGACAATGACAATAAAGATTATTCGTATCGTATCGTATCGTATCGTATCATATCGTATCATTGTTAGATATTTTCTGGATGCCCCATGATCATATTCATAAAGTAGTTGTGTTCTGTGTTATAAATCAAGCAGGCCACTACAGCAGCTGCCTCACCATCCATGTCTCTTGGTCCTACGTACATGTGAGACAGCACTTGGGCTTCTCCCTCAAAACACCCTCACAAATCCCCGTTGTCAAGTCCTGATCATGAGCTTCCAGAGATTGCTACCAGGAAAACAGAACTGCTGCTGGCTCCCAACTCTTCCCCAACTCACTTCCTTGTTCAGCCTGGCTTCTGAAAGGCCCTTTCAGACAGATTTCTGTCAGTGGTCCCAGCAGTAATTCTGCAGTGTGGTGGGTGCAGGGAAGCAGTTGGGAGAATGAAATAACAAATGGATTAAAGATTCATAGCGTGTGCCTGTTTTTCTTTTTTCTTTTTTTAAGGCTCTCATCATCTGAAATGCATCCAATAGAGTCCAATTAGAACCCCTCCAACATTTTTGTATGGCTTCCAAAATCTCGTTAACACCGAGCCCTGGTCAATTGTGATGGCTTTATATAATAAGATCATTGAGAAAGAATTATGCATGTGTTGCTGATGTAGAGGAAATACAGGAAACGGCAATACATATAGCTGCCGAGGGATTGCTGCTGGCTGAATTCTTGGAAACAGAAGTCAGAGAGTTACACTGAGAGAAATTCATTACCAAATGGACCTCATTGTCATTAGAAGGTAGTTATACATATATAGCTGCCCTTTGTGTTTCAAGGCGGGTCTGCTTCCTGAAGAAAAGACATCTGAAGGAGCTGTTTCAGTCCGGAAGAGAAAAAGAAGCACAATTTCTGCCTGCTTCTCCAATTGGCTTTCGATAGCTATTGTTGGGAAACTATTGTTTAAGAGAAATCGATGGAGAAAAGGTGGGTTTTCAGTATCTTTCTGGGGGACCTGCAGTGTGGAAAGGAGGAGACAGTGGGGATCCTGGCATGGTGCAAATGCATGAATTGGCTCCACTGGTGCATTTGCACCATCATGGGTGGCGCTGTGGGTTAAACCACAGAGCCTAGGACTTGCCGATCAGAAGGTCAGCGGTTCGAATCCCCGCGATGGGGTGAGCTCCTGTTGCTCGGTCCCTGCTCCTGCCAACCTAGCAGTTCAAAAGCACGTCAAAGTGCAAGTAGATAAATAGGTACCACTCTGGCAGGAAGGTAAATGGTGTTTCCGTGTGCTGCTCTGGTTTGCCAGAAGCGGCTTAGTCATGCTGGCCACATGACCCGTAAAGCCAATAAAGTGAGATGAGCGCCGCAACCCCAGAGTCAGTCACGACTGGACCTAATGGTGAGGGGTCCCTTTACCTTTAACTGCTTTGCTGCCTCTCCATTCCCAGTAAGAGACAGTGACCCACCTTCAGGGAAGCTACTGCTGTGACTGTGCTCTCCACCAGGCTTAAGCTCCTTCTGTCACCCACAAGGACAACCAGTGCTGTTTATGCCCCCACCCCAACCCAAAGAAACAGGCCAGAACCATTCTCTGGGTTGGCTGACATGCCCACGGCTACTTACTTTAAATTGCATCAGCATCAGCACCAGAGAACAGGAAGGTCACCATCAGTACCATAAAAATGGGTCAGCCTCAGCCCAGCTTCATAGGTTTCTCTGTGAGTTGCTAAGAGGAGCCTCTCCACAAAGTATTGCAGCATCACAGACGATGACACAAGGACATCTCCACTCAAGTGTTATTCTTTTGTGAGCTTTTGATGACATTTTTTCTAAACAAAATGAAGCTAGGCCACTCTTCTTGGATGGGAGCACAATAGGGATGATCACAGCGCTGCCTCCTTTTTCTTCCCATCTTCTTCGCTGTTGTTTGATGTTCCTTCTTAGATAGAAAGGGATTGCTGGGAACGCGCAACTAAAAAAGTAACAATCAAAACAACACATTTCTCTCTCTGCAACAAAGAGTACAGGATTATTTTATTTCAAAACTTTCAAGTGCCTCTTTGCTGATGTGCCTTAGTTCTCTTTCTTTTTAAAGCTCTCAGCAATCCTGAAAATCAGGACACACACTAGAACAAGTCAAAAGTCATTGTTTGAGAGGGTATATATGTTACTCACTTGGTGTGCTTCCTGCAAGTAAGTGACTTCCCTCTTCCTTGCATACTTTTTATGGCTCCAGCTAAATTCTCATTTTCCTGTATCAACTGGGGATATATATGTTAGGATATTTCCGTTCCACCTTAAAAGGGAGCAGGGTTTGTGAGTCACAGAGTTTGCGTATTTCCTGTTCACAGGAAGTTTATGTTTTGTCTTTGCTTTCCTTTCTCTCTCTGTGCCTGAGACACCGAAGCAGGCAGTCATGTTTTCTTTGTTCTGACCAACGCTGAATAAAATTGTAAACAATGCTCTCCTGCGTGCATCTTTCGCTGTGCATTATCTGCTGATAGAGCGTGCATCAGCTCTGGAATGTGGCAAGCTATTTCTGGAGCTCGTGTCACTAATTGCTGATACTGCGTGTCTACGGGAGATTGATGGACGTCCAGAGGCGACGTGGGGCCTAGATGGATGATGTCTCCCTGGCAGTATCCCAACAATATAAAGGTCCCATCTAGGCAGGTGACCTCATGAGCAACAGCAGAGTTTAAGCTGCTAGCCAGGGGTGGCAAAGTGGGGTGGTAGGTTGTGGAGAGTCTGAGGGGCCAAATAAAAAGTCTTGGAGGGCCAAATTCAATCCAGCTTTCCCAGTCTCACTGCCAGAGGACCTCAATTTGAATCACTTGGGATATATCTAGCTTTTCTACGATCCTTTAATGAATGCAACCCTTCAGCAAAGGTGCCATTTTTAGGATCCTGGAAGAAAGAGGATAGTTTCTTGAAAGTGCAACATTTAGTTGCCATCACTCAACTGTATGTTGGGATTACTGCAAACATTACCTCTGGGGACAAACAGCAACCCAGCAGGTGATGATTTTCTGCAGAAAACTAATTTATGACTCAAATAAGAAGCATGTCCTACATTTGAGGCCTCACTGCTGCTATCTATTCAAAATATAAGTTGCCAGTGTAAGCATGCTTTTAAATACAGCTGTACCTTGGTTGTTGAATGCCCTGGAACTCGGACATTTTGGCTCCCTAATGATCAAAACCTGGAAGTGACTGTTCTGGTTTTCAAATGTTCTTTTGGAAGCCAAATGTCTGACGGGACTTCCACGGCTTCTGATTGGCTGCAGGAGCTTCCTGCAGCCAATCAGAAGCTGCAATTTGGAAGTTGAATGATTTGGAAGTCAAATGGAATTCCGGAATGTATTCCGTTCAACTTCCAAGGTACAACTGTAAATGTAGTACGTTTGGACCTTACTGTCGCTGGTAGAAGAAAAGACTATTATGCTAAAGGTTTCTTTGCTGTGCTACAAAAGTTGGGTGCCACCCCAACTCTCTGCCGAGTGGTAGCAAGATTCTAGGGGGTTCCAGGCACTCACACAGGGTCTGTGTTCCTTTGGAGATTTGAGACACAGTGGAGACTGTCGTAGCTTTAAGAAATTTGGTTTATTCACCTATTTACAACTTCCATCTGCATGGAGTCCAGAAGAAGAAGAAGAAGAAGAAGAAGAAGAAGAAGAAGAAGAAGAAGAAGAAGAAGAGGAGGAGGAGGAGGAGTTTGGATTTGATATCCCGCTTTATCACTACCCAAAGGAGTCTCAAAGTGGCTAACATTCTCCTTTCCCTTCTTCCCCCACAACAAACACCCTGTGAGGTGAGTGGGGCCGAGAGACTTCAAAGAAGTGTGACTAGCCCAAGGTCACCCAGCAGCTGCATGTGGAGGAGCGGAGAGCGGAGACCCAGTTCACCAGATTACGAGTCTACCGCTCTTAACCACTACACCACACTGGCTCTGGAGTCCAGATGTTACAGCATGGTCATTTCAAGAGGGGTTTGTTCCCCACAGCAGTGCAGCTCTGGAGTCAAAGGCATACTTTCCAATCAGCCTTCAGCCAGCCTGCCCAAGATGGATCCTAATATTTCTTCTCCCCAGCACACCTTGCTAAAGACTCTCCCTTTCCTGTCACCTTAACCCAGTTTCAGCTGGATCCAGTTAGGTGGTATTTTTGATATCATCTTCTTTAAAATGTTTGTGCAAATCAGCTTATTTTCCTCTTTGGGGTATGCACAAGAGAGACTACATGTGTGTGTGTGTGCATGTGCATGTGTGAGTTTTTGTATACACATGCTGAGAGTGAGGGTTATATCTGCAAAATCTTTTGGGGGTTTTTTGGGGGTTTTTTTTTGCAGCAATGGTAAGGCAGTTTTACAGCCCCGCTATGGGAAAAACATTGCGCACACCTTGATTTGTGAGATATATATCTGAGATTCAGTACAGTTATTCATACCAGTCAGTTCACAGTGCCCAATAAACTCTCAATTCTGCCTCATTTATATTGTTGAGTGAGGTAGCCCTATGATCTTCTAACATTAAACTACAACATCCCATGAATAAGGGACAATCTGTGCACGAAGAATTAGCAGTCGAGTAGAGAAGTAATTAAACGTTGCAGATTGGGGTGATGAAAGTGTAACAGTCTGAATGGGGTTGGGAAAGGGCATGGAAATGTTTTGATGGAACTACTCTTTAATCATCTAGGAGCTGATGATATGATGGTGGGGTGCCCAGGATCCAAGACCTTCATCTTAGAGCCAAGACTGTGTAGGTCAAGGAAACAACAGTTAAGCTGCTGACACAACCAAGAAGTAATAAGGGCTTCTGCCTAAATCGATCATATTAATGCTTCTTAATTAGCCGGGTATCAGGTTATAACTCATTTTTATGGGAACCACACAGAAACGACAAGTTGATTTAGACATTATTATCCCAACAAGGGGAAGATTTGCCTTCGGCAGGGCTGCCCCAAGACATTTTGGCACCTGAGGCAAACCCACAAAATGGCCACCTACACTGGGTGGGTGCTGAGCCCAGGAGACCCCAGAGGGCAGCCCCTGCCATTTTCTCCCTAGGGACAGAGGGAGACCAGGAACACTCCCAGTTTGCCAAGAGGTTGCCATAGAGGCAGAATTAGAAGGGGCTGCCAAGGAGGCAGCAGTTCCAGCCTACAATGAGTATAGCAGCAGCAGGCAAGGCCAGATCTGCTGCCCTGTGGTTCCTGCTACTTGAGGTGGTTACTTCATGGGTGGGCCGACTCTGGCCTTTGGTATATTGCATTTGTTTCTGAGCATGTTCACAGTTATTTCGGTGCACTCTTCCCACCTTGGATCAAATCTATGCTTCCAGGTGCCATAAGAAAGCTGCTGAGATAGTGCAGGATAGTGCGCACCCTGGAAATGATCTCTTTCAGCTTCTGCCTTCTGGAAGAAGGTACAGGGTTATAAAGACTAGGACTAGCTGCCTGAGAAACAGTTTCTATCCAAATGCAATTTTGGTTTTAAACACAGTGTAAGGAGTCTCTGTGGGAGTATTTTGTATTTAATTATGGGGTACCAGAGTTTTCAGGGGGTTAACCAAGCTGGGATAGCAGGCTTGTTGGTTTTTGAAGGTCTGATGTAGATTTTTTCAGTTTTGTTGCTCTGTATGGGACAATGACAATAAAGATTATCGTATCGTATCGTATTTGGGGATGCATGGTCCTTCTCAGGCATAGGCGCGGAGAAAGTAACATGATAACATAGATATAGCATATCTTGTGTGATTCAGATTCATTTCTGCTTTGGTGAAGCATTTTTTAAAAGATGTCACAGTTGCGGAAATTGTTGCACATAAGCAAGAATGTTCATATGGGGAATAACACAGTCAGATGAAAACGTATAGATAGATGTTGCTGCTTGGCAGTCACATAGGCATTTTAGCTCAGTTTTAGCTAAATGTCCCCATGGGACTGATGGAAGTCATGGCTTTTGTGGTAACTTATATTATTATATAATGATGATGATGATGATGATGATTTCAGTTGGTATTTGATAGTCAGGGACAGGATGGGATTAGTAACTGTGATGGGTTTTATAATTTTAACATATTATTATTAGGGATAGAGGGACATGTCTTTTTCACTTCTCTCTGTTTCTCATTTTTCCAGTCTTAAATCCAATTCTTCACATTTTGCAGCAATTTTCAGATCTTTTATTTAACTGTACGAAAACAATGCACCTTTTGCATGCAGTTTTGACCGATGTACACATTTTGACCGATGTACACATTTTGGCAAGCATTTTCCCCAATGCAATGTACTTTAGTTTGTTACTGTCACCAACAAAATCATTTTTATTCACACTTATATGGATTTTTAAAAACATCGGTTGGGAAGCTGCATAGCAAAAATGGGATAAGTTTGACTTTCCAAGGATAGCTGTGTTTCAGTTCATATATTGTATCAGAAGGCAGAGCCTAGGTGATCTGGCGCCCCTGGCTGAACCATCCAGATTGCGCCCCCTAGCCACTGACAAATTAGCTCTTCTTTCCGCCTCTCCTCCACCCCCTTCAATTCACCCTCTATTTAAAACCTCTTCTTATGAGGCAATAATCAAAATATTTATTTATGGATATATTTGTAGCCGATTTTGTGCCCCCCCCACTTGCCTGCGCTCCTGGCGGGGGCCCACCTCGCCACCCCTTAGCTCCAGCCCTGTCAGAAGGTGAAAATTTGATAGTTTCAGCTTCAAATGAGACATGAATTGGATTCCACTCCTTCCCTAATTTTTATTCATCCACCCCCAAGTCCTTGGGATGTGGGGGTGGGCTAAAAAGGAAACAAGCAGAAGAACCAGTGCACTACTTCAAAATGCTCAATGCACACAGAAATTGCTTTGCATTCTATCAAGTCCTTTGCACTGTAACCAGATCTGGTACAGAGTAGACTAAATTTTCTCCATGAAATGTGTGTTAAAGAAACCACATACCTTAGGGAAGAAGAAGTTCATAAATGCAGCCGTAGAAAGTGTTAGGAATAAACATTTTTTTAAAAAAGAAAGAAAGAAATAAGTATGTCAACAGTAGTTTGATTTGATTTGGAATGAGAAATCATGCAGACTGTTAAGAAGCTATGTTTTATTTAAGCCATGCCAAACATTTGAGGACCACGATAGCACACCTTGGCTGATCATTTATTTATTTTACTTATTTCAGCACCAGCATACATATGTTAAAACTCAATGATTATACTTAAGCTCCAGGCATGTTACCAGATTTTCTTTTTAAAGTTTAATCAAGCCACAGCAAGGAAATAAAATAATTCCAAAACAATTCTAAAAAATGTCCTCGCTGTGGCAAGTGCTCCCCACCTGTCAGGAGTCAGTGTGAAAGACGCAAGGCTCTGTTGTCAGTGAAGTTAACTCTCTTTTATTTGAGGAAATGACATACAACTCAGCAACACTTCCCAGCAGGTCTTGCCCCTACGGAGCAGTTGCCAGGACTGAAAGTCCTTGCCGTCCACTCTTTCTAAGGCTCCTCCTCTCCCAGATGTTTCCCAAGCAGTCTCAAATTGCATCTGTGCACCTCTGGTTTCTGTTCTGCCCTCCTCGTTTTTCTGCATGTTCTTGGAGACCAGGGTGGAGGGGAGATTGTCACAGCAGGAGAGGGAGACTCCCTGGATTTTTCAGCAGTCTCTTGACCCCTCTCCACTGCTTCAGCCTCAGAGTCTGAACTGCTCCCTGTCACTGGCTCTTCCTGCTCACTAAACTCTGTTGCCTCTTCAGCATCTAGTCTTTCCTCCCAAGCCTCTCCCTCTGTCCTCTCCTTAGTGTCCCCTGGCTCTGAGCCTTCCTCCTCTGGGGTTCCCCTTGGGGGTTCACTGGCTGGTGCCTCCCACCACTCCTGGTGTCAGAGACCAGGCTGAGGAGTACTGCTCTGATGAGGAATGGTGGCAGCCTCCCCCTCCCCCTGCTCCTGACCAGGATACTGAAGCTGCCCAGGAGCAGTGGAGCAGTATAGATTTGGAACAGAGGGGCATACTTCTGAAGACAAAAGTTGGGATGAACTTGGGTGGTGAACAGGAAAGTGAAGAAGAACTGGAAGAGAGAGAGAGCTAACAGACTCACTCTCGCTGTGAAGTGTCCAGCCTACCAGTACAAGGTCAGGTAGAGAAGATTAGGTGGCTACACAAAAAGCACAGTGGTTGTGACATCAGGTTGCAAGACGGAAGTAACTGGGGGGGAAGTGGGTGGAAACCTTAATTGGGAACACCTTCATTCCAAGAATGGCTGCTTTGTTCTTTTGCTGTTATCATTAAAGACTCTTTAAATGGTAAGCGACTCTTTTCACTTTGTCCTGCTTATCTACGGCCAAATGGGGGGAGGAAGCCGGGTCCCTGAAGCCTGACACTTGGTCATTATGCATAGAGCAGTTAACATATGAAACCCTACAATTATATTAAAATTTCCATTCTCCCTCTCCATGCCCCAACCTTCAGAGTTTGCCAGGTACATAGACTGGAGGTGTGAAGGTTCATCATGACATGATAGAGCTCCACTTGGCAAGCAAGCATACCTTTGTGTTTGTGCTGGTCCCGGGGGGGGGGGGTTACCATGAGGCGTGGTCAGAGTCTGGTCCTGGGCCGAGGGTCTGGAGACTGTCCACCAAGGGTGAAGTGGGGTCCAAAGCAAGAAGCCAGGCGTGGTTGGGAACTCCGGAAAAACAGGTCTTGGTGCTGGCAGAAACAGGTTTCCAACGTCGTTGCTCCTGCAACCTGGGACTGGGCTGACTGGCCTTTATCTCCTCTGGGGCCTAGGGCGGTCCTGGCCCACAAGTGACTCGCCTCTCCTGGCCTTAAGGCGAGCACTCCTCCTGAGAGAACCTAGTTCCCTCCGCCTCTCTGCCCTGAGCCTCTGCAGCTCAGGAGAGGCTGGAGGGTTACTGGACCCAGAGGCAGCCTCACCTTCTCCTGACAGAGCTGGGAGAGGAGCACCTGCAGGCAATGGGTTCTCAATCACCTCCGGAGCCAGAGTGGATTCATCTGGTGTCTGCTCCTGAGGATCTGGCACAGGTGCAGGCCCTTCAGATTCAAGGCCCTGCCCCGGCTCAGCCGGCCCTGGAGGCGGGGACTCCTGTGCAGGCTGGGATTCCTCCGGTTCAGCCTCTGAATCAGATTCCCAGGCCATCACAGTGTTACAGCCAGCATGTACAGCTCACTCATCATGTGGAGCCCATTCATATTGTCATCAGCATCCCTCTGGCAAAACTACCTAAATCTCTGTATCCTGGTCCTTAATGAAGGGTTTCCAAGGGATTGAGTCTGACTGCAACGTCTGGGATCCAAAGCAGCCCATGTGCAAAGGGGAAAGACACAACTCTGGGGTAGACTAGCATATCCCTACCACCTCCAGTTAGAAGGATCTCAGATTTCAGGAGAGCAGCTGCCCATCAGAGTAGACATTACAGGGATAGATGGACAAATAGCTCTCTATTACCCAAGGTAGCTCTCTATTACACAATACACTTCTGTGCATGCACAGCTGAAATGTGCTCTTTTTAAAAAACCACACATGGTATTTATTGGATTTTTTTCGATACAAAAAGAAGTAGTATATATGGCTAGATGCCATCAATGACAAGATAAATTAATCTTAGCAAGGAAAATAATGCATAAAGCAATTGCTAAAGGAACATCATGAAACAAAACAAAACAAAATAAGGAAATGGAGCATAGATTCCTTTCACGTTCAGTTGTGGCAAGCAAAATATATTGTGGAACAAGTAAAAGGAGGTTCTCCATTATAAAGTGTTTCATCACACAACACTAAGAGAACAGTAAATAATATTAATAACAGCAAGGTAGAGATATTGTAATGCAGTCATCCAATAACATCCCTCCCTAAAGATGCACAAGTGGGGGGAGGGTGTTTTTGAGGGGCCTTTGGAGGGGTAGAGTGTTCTCCATTATTGGGTTCCATTTTGGATGGTCCACAGACATTTAAGGCTGCTTTTTAGGGTTTAGTCATTTATTTATAAAAGTAACTTACTTACTTACTTACTTATTTACATAATCAATTGTCATATCATATAAAAGATCAAGGTGGTGTATAAAACTATATAAAGACACACCAAGACTTATCATACCCTGCAAAACAGTACAAAACAATCATTAAAATGAATGGGAGGACTTAAAATAATGTAAACAGAATAGCCCGAATCTCTGCTGGAAGAGAGAACTCTGCCTCATGGGACCAGCAACACTAAATGCCTGAGATTTAGTTGAGGCTGTTTGGGCCTCTATAACATGGAGGACAACCAACAGCACTCCTTTAGGTGGTCTCACTGATTGAGATAGGTGGTCCTCAAGATACCCTGCACCCAAGTGGTTCAGGACTTTCTTCATACTAATACAAGAGCCTTGAACATGGCTTGATAGCATACAGGTAGCCAGTGCAGATCTCACTTATTATCAGCCATCTTCCGCACATCAGCAGTCTAGCTGCTGCATTCTGCACAACTTGAGTTCCTGGATCAGGTCCAAGGACAGCTTATCCTTCCTGCCTTTCAGATTGATAATGTGAAGGATGGCAAGGGTGAGTCTCCTCCCCGTTGGCACTCTGGGCTGGGCAGAAAGGAGATGAAGAGGAAAATTGCCCAGTTTGGTCTTCCTCTCCATTGTAACAATGTGGGACCCGGCCTGTCCCAGTGCCACCATATTGCAATGGATCAACAGGGAGGAAATTTTTTGACTGAAGGCAACCATCACAGCTGCTGCGAAGGGTGACTCCTCAATGTCTATCTTCAGTTTCTACAATGAAAGAAAGAGGATTATCCTAAAACTGCATCAGCTGTCTTAAGGGTGATTTATATATGTCGTAAAGCAAGAACAAACTTGCCATAAAGTTGTATAGCATCCCACTCTTGAGAGAGCAATAATTGTAATGCTAAGGAGTCTGAGAGTATTCATTATTATAACTGGATTATACATATGAATAATTTTAGGGGCAACTAGTAAAACATTTGTTTGCATGCTTGTTTATTGCCCATATATTTTACTTGTGGGGGCGATAAGTCTACACTTGTCTTTTTAAAAATTAAATCTGATGGCCATTCATCTCTTATTAAAAATGTTTATGTGCCATAATTTATGCAGTTGTCACCTCAGTATTCGCATAATGAAAAAATATTGCGCTTGATTAATCTTCCCATATTCTCCAGTTAAGCAATGGTACATAAGTGCGTGGGCAATCTCACACTGTGCAGTAAAATGGAAATTAATCAAGGCTTTTAACAATGGTGTTTTGAACGTATGGATCCTAAATGAGACGGCTGCAGTTTGCTTGCAAACCAAAGCTACTGTCTGCAGAACTTTTTTCTTTTCTTTTGAAGACAAATAGCAGGCTGCAACTAGGAACACAAATTGTAATTTAGAAGTAGGATTTGTTTTCATGTGGAGGTCTGTTCCCCTGGACTGGTGGTACAGGTGAGAGCCCGCGCTTCTGGGCTCAGCCTGCCTGTGTACTTGGACAACCTGTCTGAGGCATGAACCATCTGGCAAGAATGAGGGCTGACATCATTTCTGGGCATGGGAAGCAATGTGTCAGGTCATCGGTTGGCTTGCTTTCATATCAATCAGAACATAAGAAGAGCCCTGTTGGATCAGGCCACAGGGCTGCATTATCCTTTGATCTGTTATCACAGTGGCCAACTAGATCTCCCAATGTCAGGGCCTGGGCTGAGGAGGAATGGTGAGGACTGCCCCCCCTTCTCCTGAACTTTCCCAAGAACAGGAGGAAAGTATAGATTTAGAACAGTGGTTTGCAGAAGGGCATAGTTCAGAGGCTGCAGATGGCAGAAGCTGGGAAATATTGGAAGAGGAACAGCAAGAGGAAGGAGAAGCACCAGGGGAGAGACAGCTGACAGACTCAGTGTCCTTGGAAAGCATTCCTGAACCTCCCTCTCCCAGGACCAGGTGGGCATTGAGGGTATTAGCACAGAGAGCTCAGAGGCAGACAGCTCAGATTAACTGCTGCAGGAGTGATGTTGAATAGGGGAGATGTAGGGGGGTGGGACTTTACTTGGAGCAACGCCATTATTAGGGAAGGCTGCATTCCTTCGTGGTTCTCTCTGAATTATTGAATAAAATGCTTGCTAAGAACTTTTATTGTTTCTCTGATTGTGGGCTGCCACCATGGGAGGGATCTGATTTCCCGAAGCCTGACACCCAATGGGAGGCTTGCAAAGAGAACCTGAGTGTAACAGCACTCACCCTGCCAGTTAGTCCGAGCAACAGCAGAGGTCGGACACAGCTGCCATGGCCAGTAGCTACTGATAGCCTTATCCTCCGTGAATTTCTCTAATCCTCTTTGAAACCCATCCGAGTTGGTGACTATCATACATCTGTCACACAAGCTGCAAAGCTGGGTGTATATTAGGGCTGGACCAAATGGACAAGGACAATTCATCAGTTGTTTCGCCCACCCTGACATTGTTTCAGTAAATTTCCAGGGTTTAAGTGAATCTTTTCTGTGGTAGGAAGAGAACCAGAGCAATCTCCATGCCTGCTCCACACACACACCCAATTCTGAGATGCTTTTTGAATTTTGGAAAGTTCAAGATGGTCATCACAATTAAATCGGCTCCTTTTTTTGCTGACCATTGGGGGCTGGCATTGCAACGGACAGATGTTGAAATACAATGTGTGTGTGGGCTTCTCATTCTCCACTCTCAGGAACTAAAGAATTGAAGCAGGCTTGTTAGAAACATAAAGTCAGAGTGTGCCAATCCATGCCACCCTATTTTTAATGTTTGGATTTATTTATTTTATTTAAAAAATAATTGAAGCATGTCTACCCCGCAAAACACGAAGATACTTCATTTGAATGTTTAATGCCATTCTGCACATTTTCTCCCTTAGTTTACACCGTGAGTGTAGGAACTGCTATGACTGCTCCAGGCATGCCATGTTTATTTCAATATAAAAGCAGTGGAGCTGTATCATTGAATTTAGGAATGCTTAAGCTAAGGATGGCTACAGACTCCTTAACAATCACCTTGCAGTATCTTACATTTCTGGTAGGAAGGGAGAAACTGCAGTCACACACCTCATCTGTGTAGGACGAGGGGCCTTTCTAATCACTTTTCCTTCAACTATTAATTCTGCAAGAATCTCTGCATAAGGTTATGTCAGTGTGGCCATAAATCAGATCAACAAGAAATCAATGAACACCAAAGCCAGGTAAAACTAGACTTATTGAGCTATTTAATGATGCTCAGGTTTCTTGCATATTGCTGAAAATAGGAATCTCATAACTGAAGTATACAATGATTATAA